AAGCCTTTAGAACACCCAAAGAAACCCTTTACTCGTAAATAATTCAGTCTAGCTCTCATCCCAGTTGCGTAAAAACCTCTCTTTGACCGATTAAAATAGTAATACGCAACAGTACTAACGGGACTTTTTAGAATAAAAGACCAATTGTATATTAGAGAAAAAAACGTGAAAATTCGCATTGTTATATTGTAGAGTAGATTTTTAGAATCAAAATATTAAATCTTATTTACGACTTGTTTCTGTCTAAGATTATCAACTTTTTTTTAGATCTTTATTTATCAAGACCCGACAAAAATCACATAATAAGCAATTGACAATACATAATATAAAGTAAGAATTACGTGAAGATAATAGTATGGTGCATAAAATCTAAAGTCATCAAAAGTTTGTATTTTATAAAATGGATAAACTTCTTTACTAAGAAGTAAATACAAAATTTAATCTGTGAATATGCTCAGAAAAGACCTATTGTATCATATTCACGGAATAAATTTTGTATTTACTTCTTAGTAAGAAGTTTATCCATTTTATAAAATACAAACGTTTGATGACTTTAGATTTTATGCACCATACCAGTATTAACCTTAACCTTAACCCTAACTCTAGTAAAACTCCTATCCTAATTTGGGCCAAGCGTGATCTGACGCAAGCATCAATCTCAGGCACAACATACGTATTCACCTTTGAAATTGCATTCTGTGCAGTGATTGGATTGATGCCAAATGTGCAGCAGTAGATGTGACGTCCATTTTGTGTGAATGCTATAATAATCATCAGTATTCAATATCATTGCTTTATCTGCATATTCAACAAGTGCAGAATTGATAGTATTAGCATGTTCTTCTGATGCAATAATTTTGTATCGTGTAATTGCACATGTTGTAGTTATATAGAAACATTATAAACACCCGTAGAATCTAAATACATTCCTAAATTCCTTTTCACATCATTAATAAACTTATCTCGGATTCCACAAAGAAAATGGCATATAAATAGATGTCGTTTTTTTGCCCGTACTCGTGAATCTTTATTTTTTGAGAAGGATCTGATGACAAGTACAATTCATTATATCCTTCCATAATCATCCAAAATTCATCAAATAAGTATATTGTTGGATTTTTCTCTTTATTTTCATGAGCATATAAAATATTTGTTATTATTTCTATTGCTTCAGAAAAGGATAAAATGGAATTAGTACTTTTTATTAAGCTTACGTCGCTTCATATTAATTTGAGCATTTGAAATTCAAGTGAACCTCTTGTTACGATTCCATTATAACAGTTTAAGCAGATTGTATCACCTTCCTGTACATAATTTGGCAAAGTATTGGTAGCTTGACCTTTAGTAAGAACATATGCAGTTACCTTTTTCCAGTGAACCGACTGTCTTCGACATATAGTAATTACACATGGTCCAGTAATAGTAGTAGATGGTGACATATTTGTCTTTTAAGTAAATTATCTCCAGGTTTAGGATTCTTTTGCACAGTGAATATTAACACTTTTTTGAAGCTAGAAACAATATTTATTTTATTTTTATTAATAAAATATAAGTGAAATATTACGTTTTCAAAAAGTGTTACCCGAACAATTGATTTACATCAGCCAATCATACGTAAGTCTCCCAAAGTTCAGTATACGTACATGTATATGATCGGATTCTAATCTTTTCTATCAAACTTGCCTTATCGTTATTTGTAATGAGATTGATAAATCGAATACATCGATTAATTTTATCGAAGCACTTGTATCTAATTATTTACTGTATTATCGTTATAACCGCAGTTCGTCTTGACAAGTCATATTATCGTTATATATAAATGTTTACTCACAGTCACCAGCCAAGGTTGTTATTTTATTGAAAATTAATTTCTTGAACCTTATTTTAATTCTCGATTTTCGGCGTTTACAGATATACCGCCGACATGATATTATTGTGTTTTGTTTTAGGTACTCCTCTTACGTGTTCTTTCCCAGTTGACATTGGCAAAAAAAATCACTATTGATGATATTGAAATCAACATTGAAGATTTCACCATTGGACATCTCAAGGAACATATCTGGAAGAAAAACCGAAATGACTTTGCAGATATTGACCCTGCTAATCTAAAACTTTGGAAAGTTGAAATTCCTCTCAAAGACAACGAAACAAGAAGTATAAAGTACTTATTGAGAAACCTCATGATGAAATTGACATAAAACGAGAACTTGGAGGTAATGAGTTGGGTGGTTTTGAGTTGTTTCTTGATATTTTTCCAGCTGACTATAATCCTCCAAGGCGACATATACATATAATCATACAACCACCTACCCCCACTGGTAAGTGTTTCCCAATGTTTTACCTCTCGCGCAAGGAAATTTAATATTAAGTTTACTAATATTTAAAGATTGAAATCGTCTTGTATAGTTCTTAAACGGCCAATTTCCAACCTTAGTTTTTAAAACGTGAAGAAGCGTAAAATTGTGAAAACCGAAGGTCCGGTGGATGTCTCGAAAAATTTTTATGTTCCGTTTGAGATGCTGTATTCAACTCAAAAGCTGGATGAAGCCATAGATGAAAAGGTGTGCGTGCTCTTAGTTGGACATTTTCAATCTGGAAAAACATCGATCCTACATTATCTGAGTGACAACAAAAAGAATCACTTTTACATTCAATCTTCAATGTTAACGGATGGCTTCCTACATGGGTTGTGCAAACGACTTTCTTTGAATTTATGTAGTAGCATAATCGATTTAAATTATGAAATCCTGAAGAACTACAAAGGAGGGGAGATAGTAATTTTGATTGATGAATTTGACCGATTTTTACTTAACAGCAAAGATACTGGAGATACGATTGATCAAATGAAAGAACTCACTAAATGCGTAAATGATAGGGGAATAGAAGGGATCAAATCTATTGTTTTTGCTGGCAGTTTCTCGATTACTACAATGCTTGAAGATGGACTTTCACAAATTAAAAAAGTCGTTAGAATGTCGTCGCAGAAGGACAGTTTATCACAGAAGAAACAGACTCGCGAATGCCTTGAAAAGCTGGTAGGAGTTCCATCATCATTAAACTCAGCAAAAACGATTGAGGCATCAGATTTTACCAAAGAACAGCACGTGTTATTCTACCACGATATCCAAGAGAATAGAAATCTTCATTTTAGTGAAGAAGTCATGGATGACATTTTCGGCCTTACTAATGGTTACGCTGGCTTGGAGGGTCTGCTTGCATCATTGTGCATCGAATATGCTAGCAATGAGGAAATCCTCGACTTTAATACATGGAACAATCGCTTCACAGAATTTATTCGTAACCCCACGAAGAAAAAGATTAATGCAGTTAAACACATTGAAAAATACCTCACCGAGCCTGGTAACGACAGTGATATCACCACCCAATACTATAACCACTTTATCAAAGATGCAAAGAAACTCTTAGAGCGCTTCTTACAAAAGGGAACTTTACAATCATCAGAAATCGCTGAAGGAGATTTAATCGCCCTCGTGCACCTGCGTGCAATTGGCATCATAAAGAGTCAAGGGGACCGTTTAGAGTTCACATCTAACATCATCCTTGATCTATTATCAAGCTCATATTATCCATTCTATAGAGAAACCCTAGCAAAAATCTCAAGTATTGACACACCTCTAGACTTCTTGGGGAAGACCTTGGACCTTTTGAAGTACATTCGTTATGATGTAATTTTCCATTCCTTGGCCCCCAATCAACACTCTTTTTCTGAACAAACGATCCAAGGCGAGCTTTATGCTCTACTACACATGGCTGTGTCATATCCAACATATAAGATCTTTCACGAAACTAGAACTTTAAAAAATTATGCGATCTCTGGGTTTGTAATAACAAAGAGTATGTGATCGAATGCAAGGTTAACAAAGTTTCTGACAGTGAAATCAAGAGTGCGATCGATCAGGCTATCGGGTACACGAAAGGACGAGAAGGAGTATGCTGTATGCTCATCTTCAACTTTGTGCCATCAAACAGTAAGCCAGACAATTATCAATTCTCATTTCCAAACGTTGTCAAGCTGAGAGATGAAATCTACTTCGAAATAGTTTATATATTATATTCGAAGGCATCTCGAAGAGCAAAAATCCTTCGCAATGGTATGCAGGCCGAGAAAATTCCTTTTGCATTGAGTTAATCCAACGTACTGTCTATTCTATACTATTCTAACAAAGCTATTCTGTCAAGAAAAAGTACAACAGAAAGATAATCAATATCGATAACTAATTTTCATCATAAGTTCATGTTTTTGCAATGAAATTTGCAAATATGTATAATGGCGCCTGGTGAACATTTTAATCATTAGCATTTATTTTGGAAAATGAATTTCAAAACTTGTAAAATACTCATTTGTGTTGAAGTGTTCCAAAATTTTACTATATTATAGAATTTAATATTGGTAAACAAGCTTGATTATTACATGAAAGGTATATTAGTATCATATTTTAAATTTTAACGATCGTACACATAAACATCAGGCTCAATTTTAACAAATACAATTGACTTTCGCTGAGCCGGAGGCAAAATTACGGATTAACTGTAACGATATTTTTCAATTTTTTACCACATATTCCGACCTATCGTTAAATCAAACCTGACTGTTCTTAGCATTCGTTTTTAGATAAAAATATTAGAATATTTTTTTTCAAATAAAAAATTAAAAGCATGATGGGTAGGAATATTGGTTTCAACGTGATAAAGTAAATTCAAAAAAGCATTTTTCTTAAAAAAACACAATTTGAGCCAAACATGCATATTATCTGCTCGGAGCTTGTTAGTTTATGAACTTGTCACAGATTCATCACTTTGACCCCTTCGAGAGTATAAGTACGATTACTCAAAATATCAATATTTATAAGGTATAATTACATACAATTATTCGAATTACACAAAATTACTAGTAATCTTTTCTTTTGATACAAATTCCATATGGTCTGACATCACTATCTTCCTTGGAAACCCAAAACTTATGTTTGTCAATCTTCACTAAATTTGCTGGGTTCACCCGATTCTGAAATATCATAACATATTTCACCCCCTCAAACTTAAATTCTGGCGCATACAGTTTAGCTACGTTCACAACAGGCGTCGAATAAATACCACGTCCAAAAGCAAAACGTTTTCCTTTACTTAATAAATAGCCGTCCGCAGAAATTGATCTCGCATTATGCTTCGCAGTACCATGGTATGATACTGGCCAAGCATCTTCATCAGTGCCAAGCCATTTATCATCCCCATTATCGTACTTCCCGGTAACATTTAAGGCAATGCGTTTCCATCCGCATGGTCGTTGATACGGGACCCCACCACGCGTATACTGTCTTCCATTATCATCGATATTTGTAAAATCGTAATTATATTTTGGGTCTAATAAGGAGGAGTCCAAGTAATCGAATGTACATTCGCCACCACAAAGACGCAAAACAAGATGTAATGTAGCTAGGTTTGAAACTTTGTAGTCTGAAAGTGTTCTTTCGTCTTCCAATTGTATACCAGCATAAATTAAACGTTGTTGGTCTGGCGGAATACCTTCCTTGTCTTGAACCAACCGTTTTACATCACAAATTGTGAAATTTCGTCCGACCTTTAAAGCGATAGTTTGTCCAGTAAGTGTCTTGATGAAAAGTTGAGTAGTTTGTCCAATTTGAGTAGTTTGTCTAGTTTGAGTAGTTGGCCTAGTTTCGTCTGAAAGCGGCCCACCAACAAGATTGGATTGATGAAATGAGTCCAAGTCAATTTTTTGATAAATGCCGATTAATTCATTACGGGATTGCCTTTCGCGAAATTCTTTTTCTGAAACAAATTTATGGTTGCCCATTACTGCAGTGAGCGCTGCGTTAAGGAGGTCGAGGTCATGAGAATTGGACATCGTTGACAAGTTTACAGATATTCAAAGTAGGGGTGCGTTATATGTTAAAGAGTTTATGTGGCAAATATCTTTTGCCAAATCAGTTCGAGTCTCTTTATAGTCCACTATATCAGCTAAATTTATCGCGCGGTTTGCAAAAAGATATAGTCATGCGAATTTCAGTTAGTGTGGGAATCTGAGAGATAAATACTACCGCTACATTTCCGTGAACATGTATTTATCTTTTATCTCAAATATGTAATTTGATGTATATACTGATATCTCAGATTTTCAGATTTCCCAATTCGCATGACTAAACCTTTTGTGATCCACTAGAAAGGAGGACTATGATGCATAAATCTAAAGTTATCAAAAGTTTGTATTTTATATAAACTTTACTAAGAAGTAAATACAAAATTTAATCCGTGAAAGGGCCTATTCTATCATATTAACTGATAAATTTTGCATTTACTTCTTAGGAAAGAAGTTTATCCATTTTATAAAATACAAACGTTTTATGACTTTAGCTGTTATACACCATACTACAAAAGCTTAACGTGACACTAAACCGAGTAAAACATATTTGATGTCTTGGAACAATTCATATTGTGAGATAGGCATCTGCAAGTGACCATTTGACAATGAACACTGTTTCACTGGTTGATTTACATTCTCTTATCTTTTATAAACATACTTTTTATATTTCAGTTATCTTTTAGTAAGTACAACACATACTTTGTTATTTCTATAAATTTCTATTAAAGTTATTCTTCACTGATTTGTTTGTGCAATTTATTTATCGTAATTACATAATAAATAATTATAATTTTTTAATTATCAAAGTGGAAATAAACAAATGACACTTTATTTATTTGTCGTTTTATATTCAAGAACAATAGCCTAATTAAAATACAATTAAAGCCAAAATAATCTAAAAGCGCTGCAAACATACTATACATAACCAATAATAGACTACAGCAGTGGCAGTGTCATAGGACAGGGACACAGGCCGGGACGGGACATGTCTGGCATTTTTTATGTCCGGGACTTTAAGGTTCGCGTCTATTTGTATTAACGCCGGCACATCACTTGTTATTCCGGTCAAAGGACTTTAGTGTTAGCCTATGTTGAGATTGTTCATGTTCTGTGTACTGTATTATTTTTCGAATCGAGCTTTTGGCAATTACAAAGTAACTTTTGTATTTAGATTGGTAGTACTACTGGATATTAATATCAACATTAAGAAGATACAAAAATATGACCTCTCTAAATTAATAACATTCGTTTTATCTTTTAATTTTTTGCAAGTTTCTTTAAATCATATTAGGATGCACTTTAAATAGGGATGTTTAATGGTTTGATAGAAACCCGTTAAAACTGTAATTAGATACAATGGTTTAACCATTAAGACCGCAGTTTCTTAGTTGCTTTAATTTATTGGTTAAAGTTTGCATTACTGTAATTCTATTGGTAAAAAATTCATGAAACCAGCCAGGCCAGGTTTGAAACCAAACAATTTCAAATAGTTTTAATCTTATAATTAACAGCTTTTGAACCAACCGAACCACTATGGTACATAATATCTAAAGACATCAAACATTTGTATTTTATAAAATGTATAAACTTCTTTACTGAGAATTAATACAAAATTTAATCCGTAATATGATAGAATAGGCCCTCTCTGAGCATATTCACGGATTAAATACGTATTTACTTCTTGGTTGAGAAGTTTATACATTTTATAAATACAAATGTTTGATGACTTTAGATGTTATGCACCATAGCACTAGCGTTAGAGAATAAACTCTGATTTTAGAATGATTTCGATATGATATCTTATTGACGCTAAATGTTAACATTGACATTTATTACATCATAACGATAAATACTGTAAAAAAAACTACTATGAAGGTTGGCTTATTATTGGCTTCACACTAATAAATTGGCGAGATTTTATGAAACGTCAAGTATTCAAGATACTGAGCGAATTTTTATAGCGCATTCGTCAATATTAATGGCACAGTCGGAATATTTTTGCTATTGCTCTTTCTCCGATGCATGGGTAAACGAGAACCTAACAAACAAATCGTCTTCAAGAAACCAAATATTGTTAAGGTAATCTTTATTTTAAAGTAAAGTTTTAGAATTATATTAAATTGAAATCTATATCGATATGGTTATTATAAGATATATATACAGTGGTAAAACCGATTTATCAAATCATGGAGTGCCAACGCTTTTTTAGATTTGTTAGTTGTTGCCGATGAGTTGATACTTGAAGATTTAATTGAATATATTCAAGAATACCTTTTGGAGCAACATTCTGAATCTATGGCTGAGAATTTCGCTATGTTCAATCAAGTAGCTTTTCAACACAACTCTTGTAAAACTCCAGGAATTCTGTACGGAAATTGCATGCAAGAATCCGGCAGCAATTTTTAAATCTAGCGATTTTGTAAAAATTAGGAAGCAGCAATCATCTCTATGCTCAAACGATCTTAATGAAATTGAAATTTGGGAAAAGATTCTTGAATTGGGGAATCGCTCAAGTATCAGCTTCTAACAACGTCAATTTGTCGATTCCAGTGGATCAATGGTCACAAAACGAATTCAATCAACTCAGTGCTACACTCAAAAATTATTTACCATTAATGCGTTGCGTTTCTTTCATATAAACTCTGTTGATTTCTATATTGATAATTATGAAGTTTTCAAATAGTAAGAAATGAATAAAATTTTTTAGTCAATTTATTTTTATAAATTTCGTAATTTATTTTCGTTATCCTCTTTCAAGTAAATTAAAAATATCTTGTGTAGAGAAAGTGTGTTTATAATTTTTAAGAGTTCACTGAAATTAAAGCATTTCATCTTAATATTTTCAAATAAAATGTTGTATTTTCTGAGATAAATATTATGTGAAATTCTATCTTGATTCAGGATGTCAACAGTTTGGTTTAAAACTGTTGAGATAGTAACGGTAATGAGAATCGATAGTTTCGATTAATCGTTTACGAACTACATCTATAATCTTAATAAATAAGGATAATTTTTGGCCTTGCAAAAATTTTTGATATTATCGACGAACTAAAGGAGAAATAATAAAGAGCATTCTGGTCAGCATATATATTCATTTATGCAGATAATTTGTCAAAGTTACAAAAGTCTTTGATACTCATCGATGCCATTTGTTTAAACGAAGAATACATTAAAAAATTCTGGACTCCCTTCATTAATTAAGTAACAATAAGGCCTTTCTAAGCATTTGAACTTGCGTTTTGCGGTAGATGATGTTGCATGGGAATTTACTTGCCTAACGGGAGCTCATCTCACCTCAATCATCGAATGTCGGAATTAAATTACCCGAATACACCGGATTCTTCCCATTTAATCAGTTCTGCAAGCTTCAGATACTGGAATTATTGAGCAACGGTGTTCCATTTCCATTCCTGATATAGTGAAGTGGCGATTACTTTCTGTTTGGTCAGGTCTCATTAGCAAATGGTTACCAATGACATGCATTCGTTGACATTCTTTATTACTAACAATTCTTATGTCTAAATTGCTTGACGAAACAGCTACTTATTCGATATTTTGGATGATTTCCAAACTTTAAAGTTATACAGTTTGCACGCTTGCTCTTGGCTATCGATAATAGCAGGATTGACATCCTAGTAAAGAATGGAAAGAAAATTCATCATGAATGCAAAGTAAACAAACTAACTTATGAGGACATAATCAAAGCCCAGAACGATACCAAAGAATATAAAACCAGAGTAGATGGTTGATGAGCTTTGTTCCCTGAAGAGCATAAGATAATGAGACATATTGCTCGATTGCTATCCGAACATAAACATATTACATGCTATCCATGGCGTTAAGTTCTCAAACCGATCAAAACATTTTCACAAATCAATTGTAAGCAAATGAACAAATGTGAGCCTTGGAAATTATTTCAAATTGTATGAATATGAACATACTCAATTGAATTAAATATCTAGCAGTGTGGGCTGAGGTAGTTGTTTAATGCATTCTACAGTGTTTTCGAAACAAGATGCTGCACAATGTGCATGTCACATAAAAGTATAGAGGATGAACCAGGCGAGCTCTTCTCAATTGACGTTCTTCACACACATAAACCATTATCGTTACAAACACACTCGGAATAAATTAACTCATAATGCGACTTACAAAAAAAGCTCTATGAAGAATATATAAATCATCAATATTATCTTTAAAAATTTTACCTGTGGTGCAGGAACATTTAAATCGACAATAATCAACTTAACTAAGAAGTTTATTATTGTCGATTTAAGAGTTCCTGCACCACCATAGGTAAAATTAATACACATGATTTTAGTAAATGCACTTGCCGAGGTGATTGCAATGAATGTTTAAAACACATAATTGTAATAAATGTATTCGCTGTTAAGAAATCACTGCAATAAATGTTTCGATTATATGTCTCAAAAATAAAAATATCGAGAGTCTAATAATAGAATTAGACTATTTTTTGAATGGATCCCATTTGAAATATTCAATATCTTAGGTTTTGAAACAATTGCAATAAATACGTCAAATTACCGAAACCAAAACTCAACAGTTTATACACAAGTTTGAGTATTTACTACATCCCTAAATCAAAATATTCAATCTAATAAAATGTAGCTGACGAGATAAATATAACATTAATATGCAGCGAATTCTGTTATTTTTTTAATTGCATATTTTCTAGTTGTATATCTATTTAGAAGAAAGTTTGGAAAAAAGCGCATAATTATATCTATATATATATACTATGAAAGTTATATTTTATTAATTTGAAGCTAATAATTTTTCAATAGTTGGATATAGCAAAATAAAATAAAAAATATCAAATTTTTACAAAAAATTTACTGCTGTCAAAATGAAGATATGTCCTGGTGGCTTTTTAATATAAAATACTATAATTGGTCTATTTGCTTGATGAATTAACAATATTCATATACGCCAGGTTATCCTGATCGGAGTTTGCAGAAACATCTTGTCAACATTTGCAAGCTAATTTACCGATTAATGAGCAAATCTGTAACAATACATTTCATGTTAGAATTATGTTAACTTCTTAACTAAGAAGTAAATCCAAAATTTAATTGGTAATATTATATATATAAAAGGATTTTCTTGATAATTGTTGATTTAAAAAAGTTCCTGCATCATAAAATCGTTATTTTTTGTAGCATTCGATTTATTTTTTAGTATTCCAAAGCATCTCCTTTATAAAGTATAATATTTTTGTTCTTTGCTTTTTATTATGGGAATTTGATAAGAATTATTACAATATAGTGAATACTTTGTTCAGTTGGCCATTGCTTTTTATTATGGGAATTTGGTTGAAATTATTATAATTTGGCAAATACTTCATTTGATTGATCATTGCGTTTCATTATAATTACTTTGGAATCAGATACAGAGAATTTAACCAAATTTGCCAATTGTGAAATTTAGTTTCTTTCTGGTTTTTGCTTGTTTTTGTCTTTAATTAAATCAGTAACTGTTCGGATAATTCTTAAATAAGAATTGTAAAAGTATTATACAAAATAAATTATAGTAACAATTATAATTTATAATATATAAAAAGCTTTGTGACAGTATTTGTTCTAAACTTTCTATTCATTCTATATTGATATTGATTCTAAGCAAATATAAAGTCTTAAAAATATGTACAAATAAATCTCTCTAAATGCACTCTATAAGTGCACACTCTCTCTAAATATATAGCATAACTGGATCCCAGCTTATAAGAGCTCTATAGATTTTACTTTTTATAAATACACACCCTTTCTAAATGCATATTTTGCTATAGTTCCAAGAGGAATGCATTTAGAAAGATTTGTCTATAATTTTCTAAGTAAATAATAATAATTCAAAAAAACTCAAAGCAATTATAATATAAAAAATCTTAAAAATAGTTTAATATAATAAAGATTTATATATATTAAAATAATAAATATATAGTATATGTAATTTAATTTGTTGTTAACTATATATTAAGTTCAATATTAATCATATTATCAACTAAAAAAATTTCTAAAACAACTAAAAAATATCAATCAATTATCATTTATCTTCAATTAAATATAAAAATTTCTAATATTCAAAAAAGTTCAATTTTATTCATTACTATAAAAGATTTGAAGTGAATAAGAATAAGATTATTAAAAACAATCAGTTAAATCTAAAAAATACTATATAATTTTTAAATATAATAAAGAATTATATAAAATAATATTAATTAACTTTCATAATTAAATTAATAATTATAATTATTATAAAACATTTTTTATAATTTAAAAAAAATATTGATATTATACAAAAAAAGTAAAAATATATATTAATAATATTATACTTGCATTATCAATATATCTATTAAAAAGAAAATATTAATTATATTAACAGTATCTTGGTAATATATTCAAATTAATTTTATTGACTTTCATAATTTTGCTTGTATAAATAATAATTTTATATGATTATTAATATATATTATATATTATATATTTTCTAAATTCTTTATTATAATTTTTATAAAAATAAAAAAGCTTTCATTATTATAACATATCTTATTAAATATATCTTCAAGTTTTTTAATTTACTAATTATTCTCAAAAATAATAATCATAAAAAATTTATAATACAAATTATTATACAAATTTACAAGATTCTTAATATCAAAATCAAGTATAAATATTTTTATTATTTACAAAAATAAGCTCAAATTAAAAAACTTAATCAAATTTTTAATTACAGATTCACTAAGTTACTTTAAATTAACATTATTAATATTTTTATTATATTATATAATTTCATTATACATAAAATATACAAAATATATAATTATAAATTCTGAAAAAAAATTAGTTTAGTTTGAATTTAGTTTAATTCAAGCTTGAATTTGACTTGAATCTAACCAAAAATCTAGTTTAAAAATTTAAATCTTATTAAATGTCTGATTTGAATTCAAATAAATATTCAATAATATTTTAAGTAAACTTTTAGATTATAACTAAAGCTACAAATTGATATAAACTAATTAATATTTAGAGTAAATATTCAAAAAGTTATATAGATTTAAAAAATATTTTGAATTATTTATAATTTTAATTTACTTTATTTATTTAAATTATATATATAAGTAAAGTTATAACTCATATTTAAAGCTATAAATTAGTATATAATACTATATACAAACTCAAATTAAACTCAAATCAGACTTGAACTCATACAATAATTTAGTTTGAGTTTAATTCAAATTTTGAATCTTTCTTGAACTCAAGTCAGAATCTAGTTCAAATTTAGTTTAAATTTCAAATCAAATTTGAATTCAAACAAAAGTTCAGTTTATAAAAATACTATATAATCACATATTATATGAAATTATTATTAATTAAAAAATATATTATATTTACTATATATCTAATATTACAAAAATCAAAGTTGATAATTAGATGTTGGTACTTATATTATTGTATAATAAATTTTGATCAAATATTTTACTGAACTATTCATACTTATATTATTAAATTATAAATATCTTATATCTTATTAAAAGAATCAAATCATATAGAATGAGCAAATAAATAAGTGAGCGAATAAACAAATAAGTAAATGAATAAGTGAATAAGTAAATGAATAAGCGAATATTAGAATTTAAGTGATCTAGTAAATATAAATTCATATAGCTGATGAATTATATTTGAATATATATAAAAGTAACATATATCATAACTATTAAAATTAGATTAGAACAAGTTTTTTGATAGTAATATTCTTAATTATCATCTTATAGCTAGTTATTACATAGTTTTGATTATTCATATGAACAAAATTTGCACTTTATATAGAGTAAGAAGTTAAGCACAAACTCTTTTCTACATCTTTTTTGACAAAGTATTCTTATTTCTTGTATAATTACTTCAGTACTATTGTCATAAGTATTATATAGATCTTAAATTAATATTATAATAATTTAAGCAAGATTATTAAAAATGCTATAAAAATAATTACTTAATATTAGATTATTTGAACATAATTATAATAAAATCTATTAAATATTATATTAAATAAAAAAATTATTATTATAATTCATAAATCTATCTTTAAGATTATATTACTATTAATACATTACTTATAAACTCATTTTTGATCTTGTATTGCTAATAATATATTATTTATCTTCAATTTCACATTGCTAATAATATGAATATTATAATCTTTATAACTTTAATTCTGAAATTTTGAGAACTCTTTTTAGCAATTCAGATTATTACATTAAAAAAACACAACTATTATTAATTTTTAAGTAGTTTTGTCACTAGTACTTTTAGTACTTATTCACATTCAGTCTAATAATTATAAAGTATTATTATTATTTTAAATTATTGTTAAGATATTAAAAGTTTTTCTTTAAATTTTTATAATTATCTTTGAGTATTTCAAAAGTCAATCAAAACAATAACAAAAGTTTGGTGCTTTTTTTATGGATCAAAATCTCAAAAAAGCATTATTTTAAAAGCACTATTAGAATAATTATTAATCCCTTATGTGAATTGAAATTTTGAAATATTATAAAAGTTTCATTATAAAAGAATAATTATTAGTAAAAAAATCCTTTGTAAATTATATCAAAAGAATATTGAGTAAAATATTTATAGTCGTAACCAAAAGTATCTGACCCCTTCTAACTCTCCAAAAAATTAAATAAGTTTTATTTTTTTAAAAAAATATAAAATACATTACTAACTATGATATTTAGTACATAGTATAATCGCCATTCGCATTTATTAGTTCAGTTATACGACGTTTCATACTTTCTACCAATTTTGTGACGAGCTCAGTCAGAAGACAGTTCTATTCTTTGATAATTTTGCTCTTTAACTCTCTAATTGTCCGAATTTTTTTTCTTGCAACCTTTAGTTTCACTAACTGCCACATATTTTCTATGAGATTTTGGTCCAGAGACATCGACGACCAGGGAAGTATTTTTACGTTGTTTTTCGCCTTCCATTTTTTCACGATTTTCAAAGTGTATTTGGGATCATTGTCTTCTTGCAAGATCCAGTCTAAGTTGTCCTCACCAAAAAGCTGGGAGATGGAAGGCAGAAGATCCCGCTCATAAATTCTACACATAAAATCAGCATCAAGGTTCTGCTGGAAACACACCAATTTGCCAAATCCTGAAGATGAAAAACATCCCCATATATGAACCTTCTGAGGATGCTTAACCAAATGAAAAATTTTTTTCCTTCCAATGAATTGCCAAACCTTTCTTTTGTGCTGAAACAGCTAGAATGTACTTTTATCTGTAAAAATA